GAGGAGAGCGCGAGGAGGTCGCGTTAGGGATTGCGCGAGGTGCCTCGCTCCCATTCGCCGCCTTCTTGCTTCGAGGACGACGATCTCGAAGAAACAACCTCATGCAACAATTTGTTTGGGGCATTCGACACGGGTGAGACGCGAGGGACCGACAACTGGCAGTGGGAGGCGAGTTTCTGGGTCGATATGCCAAGTTTTCAGGTGGTCTCGACGTTGTCGATTATTTGGATTGGTTGTGCGCGGTCGAGAATGTGATTGATTTTAAGGAGGTGCTGGAGGCCCAACGGGTGGCATTGGGCATGACGTATTATTACGAGGGTTCGCCTATTTTTTATGAAGAGGTACACGTGGTGGAGGTACACAAATTTCTGACAAAAAAAAATGACATTTATTTTGAAATTAATATAATATTCGTTACGTGCACTGTACGGATTGCGTACTAAATTTTCATAGACATGTTTTTATTTAATTTTACACAATTTAAAGTTCATATAACATTTTCAATAAATTAATACAGGTGAATTGTACTACATAATGATTATATCTTTTTATTTCATAAATATTATTTAACTAATAATTTTAATTCATATATATTTAATATTAATAAATATATCATATCCATCATATCATATCCTTGTCTCTTACCAAGTTCATGAAACATGAGTACATTTTTATTAAAAACCATACGCTACAAGCATCTAATTAAATACATGAACCAATAATTGTTATTAATTTATCATATATCGTTTGATTATAATATAGTACATGATCTTTCATGTGTCACATTTGTGTTTGTGCATATAATATTTAATTGACACCATTGTTTTTTCCAGCCAAATTCAATTAATCTCGATTTAAAAGTAGCAAAACCTGTGTTAACACGTAATCAATTATCACTTAGCTGAAATTATATGATGAGAGAGAGAGAGAGAGAGATAATCAGATAATGCTTGTTAATTTGGACCATGTGATTAGGCACATAAACATATGAGTGGATTGGATTGATGTCCTTTTAAATTTGGTTCATACGTATGTGTTACATGTTAATTGTAATGTTATTATTTGGTAAGTAAAAGTGTTATTAATTGTAATACTATTATTTCATAAGTACAAAATAATAGTACATGTATGTCAGTATGTTACCATGAATTTTTATGATTTATTATTGAATGTTAGTAGCGGATATGATGCTCGTATGATTAGTGTTATATTTTAATTTAATAATAATCTTAAGTTAACATAAATTATACCACTAATTATAGTGTTGGCTATGCACTATTGTAAACAACTTTATAGTTAGGATTAAGCCTCTTTTATATGTTTGCTAGTTTTTTTCTAGCAAGATATACGAGATTCAAAATATAAATTGTATATAAATCATTTATAAATATATCATATAAACCAATGATAAAGATAAACTACGAATCAATCACGTATAAATCATAAATATTAGTATAATCGTCATTTATCAATGGCTGATTTGTAATTTATTCTTTCTAAATTGCATATTGTTCCTTTGTAGTTACTAATTTTCTTTGGTTTCTAAATTGCATCTTTTTTTTTTTTTTTTTTATGAATCGTTTATGATTGATTTATGTATGATTTTATTTTGAATGTTGTATTTTTCAGACTCAAGCTGAATTTGAGCTATGATACTCAGACTCGAACCCTTATCAAACTTGAGTCTCAGAGTAGAGTTTCAGTTTCTGATATCCAAACTCGGATTCATACTCTTGTAAGGCTCATGCCTTAACGAACATATGTATTATAAAAAATAAAAAAAACGTAAAAATCCTAATTTTATCAAGCCTAATGAGCATTAAATCGGTTTTATTAGCTAAATGAACTCGTGTTCCGGTTTGTTTATCTAACAAGTTGAGCAAACTCAGATTTAAGCCAAGCCGAACCCACAAACGACTCGTTACATACAACTCTTTGATATTGTTTCCTTTTTTTTTTTTTTTTTTTTTTTTTTT